TCCTGCTGGTTAAAATATTCCTGTCTGCTCTACGAAGGTCATGCCGTGTCCAGCATTTAAAGTTTGCCTTTTTTGCTTATCTCTTTGAAATTGTCATAGTGGATAATGGATTAGGCATTTGGAGACCCAAGTCTTCCTTCTGAATCCTCTGACAGCCCCCTACCCCTTTTCCCCGTGCTGATAAATTTCTTTCTTTTCTTTAAACTTAAACTGAGTATTTAAGTTTGAAAATCCTGGGCAAGTATTTTAACTTCGAATCTTTGAAATCGGATATTAAAGTAAGGTCTTCATTTGATGCTGATTTAGAGAATTTGAGGAGACGGCAAGGAACGAGAGAGCTAGTCCATTTTAAACTCAGTGGAAGATAAATGTTGAGCTGCAGTCAGAGGTTTTGCATAATCTCGCAGCTTACAGTGTTGCCAGTAATTAAAAGCAAATAGTAATGGTAGAGTGTTCAAGATTCCCACATTACTCCAAGCATTTTGCTCCAAGTGAAAAAAATTGCGTACGCAGATGTTTTCTATAAGATGTGTATGTGTCCTAGATACGCACGTTTGTTAAGTGAATATCTAGTACTCGGATATTTTAATCATTTAAAAAGCAAACAAAAGGTTTTATAATTGTCATAAAGCCCTTTGGGCTGTGAATTGCGGTACAGTAATTCATGCCTTGTTGTGTAGACAGCCCAGCACCCCTAACCCCATGTCTAAAACCACAGTAAGCATAAAGTATTATGCCATGATTCATGCTCCGTCATGTTTTACTGCAGTGAAAAAGTCGTGCTAGGCTTTTCTAAACTCATAATTAAGCCATGCAAACGTTGCATAATGTTTCACAGCCTTTTAAAAATATGCTTTGGCAAAAAGATCTTTATGATTAAAGTCCAAGTTCTATGATTTTTTTTAACACGGGTTTTAGATTTAACATCTTCTTACCTGACACCATAACTTAGCATTCCAGTGTTAAAGGGGGGATGGCATGAAAAACCCAAAGCCCCCCCTTCCCGTCTGTGATCCGTTTCATTCCTGTGACCACAGTGAACACACTCGGGTTCATTGCCCGTGGTGGGCCAGAAGGTGGTGATGGCGAGCTTCTCATGTTGGGATTTTGAGCGTTCTCTTCTTCCATGTGTATTATTAATAAAAACAAAACCCAAAAATAAAACAAGAAACTAAGGGTGTATTTCAAGTTCATTATGCAGATACCATTCTTGCTCCGATGGGGCCAGTGCGAAAGCATGAAGGTAAGTGTAGAAATGGCAGTGCCGTGGGCCGCCCTGAGCACTGGACGGAGAAGTGTCTGTGTGGGGACCTTGGATTCTTGCTCACACTTTCTTATTCTTATCTCTGGCAGGAGATGGCTTCTAGGCCCCTTTCAGGGGTCACAGACCAGGATTCTAATTCATGTGGTTGCCGTGCAGTATTTCTCTGCTTAACTTGTATGGTAAACAGAGTAAGGGAAGAAATCAGGTAGAAGTGTGGGGTGGAGCATGGCTCTTGTAGTATGTGTATTCTGGGAAGAGGAGTTAGGCAGGGATAAGATGGGGCTATCCAGAGAAGAGGCTACAGACTGAGGAGGAGAACCACTGTCAGTCATTCTCCAGAGAGCAGGGCTGCTTGTTCTTGAAGAGATTGCCTCCTGTAAGTCCATCCATCAAAAAGAACAAAAAGTGATTGAAAATTGACTATGTGTCGGGCATGTGCTAATTTAGCTGGTAACAGCCTGATGAATTAAGACCAATATAGTCCCTGCCTGACTGGAGTTATAGTCTCATATTAGTGATGATCCTAGGACTGCATGATGCTTGGAAAGGCTTCTTCCTATTGTGTTCTTTCATCATGCTGAGAGTTGCTTCCTTCCTTCTTTCCTTCCTTCTTTCCTTCCTTCTTTCCTTCCTTCTTTCCTTCCTTCTTTCCTTCCTTCTTTCCTTCCTTCTTTCCTTCCTTCTTTCCTTCCTTCTTTCCTTCCTTCCTTCCTTCCTTCCTTCCCTCCCTCCCTCCCTCCCTTCGTTCACGAAGTTATTCCTCATTCATTCATGTTTCTAACAAACATTTTTGCTTTAGGGCCCCTGTTTAGGGACTCAGTAGTATATGCATTCTAGCCGTTGCCTTCAGGGAGCTGTAGCTAGTGGGGGACCTACAGGCTGTATCCAGGCAAACTGCTGGATCATCTGCTTAATTTGGACTTGCAAATAGCTTTTCCCATGTTAGAGAAAAGAACCCTAGTGGTGTTTATTACACACTAATGTTCTGCCTCTGAGAGGAGCAGACTAGAGAAAGCACCTAATTTAAGTCATAGAAAGATTTCAGTTTGAATCTTGCCTTTACTATAGCTATATGACCTTGGGAAAGTCACTTATTTCCTCTGATACATAATTTTCTTACTTCAAAAGGTAATAGGAATAAGTGAGGTAAGCTATATATGAAGCAAATATCACAGTTTTGGGCCATAGTAAATGCTCAATAAGTCTAATTTTTTTTTATGATTATATTATTAAAAAGGAAAAGTAATCTGTGCAACAAAGGGACTTAACCGATATTTATTGGTAAGGCCACATACCCCTGCTCTAGGATGAGGTTCAGGTGATACTGTGCTGTTCAGTGACAGAGAACTTGACGGAGTTGTCAGTACTGGGAAGAAACCAGATTCAGGAGATTAAATGATAAAGGGCTAAGAAAATTGGAGATTTGAAGTAAGGATGGAGAAGGCGAGGATTCAATCTCAACCAGTTTATGTTTCCATTTTTTAAAAAAACCAACAACAACTACTGGGTTAGAAAATTTAAATTTGAGCCTTTCTGCATCTTGTTTATTTCTAGGGCACATAAAGTTTTGATGCAGCCACTTTTCGAGGCCATTTTGTGATGGATATTTTCAGCTTTTTGATTATCGAATAACAGGTAAAAGACCCCCCTCTCTACATCTTGAGCTCCACTCCCTTCCTTGGAAGTGAGGTCTAAAAAGGGAGGAAGTTAGGGATGAGGTAGGGTGGAGGCTAGTGGTGAGCGCAGAGTTATCCATGGCATATATCATTCAATAAATAAGTAGAGTGCTTTAACTTTTGATGCAGCAATATCAAAGAGTCTACAGAGTTAAAAATTGACCCTATCATATAATTCATGTCAAATGTTCTGCTATTTCCTGTTTCAGCTCTGAAATGTAAAGAGCTTGGGAGTCGTCACTCCCAATAAGAAAAAGCTATATAAACTGATAATCCATGACTTTCCTTGGATCTATTAGAGAATTGAGGTCAGAGGGTAAACTGCCACCCTGAAATCTTGAGAGGCAGGTGAATACAGAAAATCATATTGAGATCTGCTTACTGGGAACAGAAGCTGCTGAAGCCACAAACAGGTGGGAATAATTAAATGGTAATTTTGACAAATTGTTGGAGGCTGAGTATAGCCTAGTGTGAGAGTAAGAAACTCCTGAGAGCTAGTCTTATGTGCGTATGGGCGGGGCAGGGCAGGGGCGGGGTGGGGGATACTTCCATGGGTTTTTCATTCATAAACTCCTTCAGGTTCTCATGGGATCCAGTAAAATAACAGTGGGTTACAGCTAAGTGTTTTTAGGGAAGCCCAAAGACAAGGGAGAAAAAAACAAGGACATTAGAGGAATTTATAGCCTCTGGCACCTGCATCCACAGCAAACATTAAATAGCCCAACTCCTAGCTAGATGAACATAAAATTTCACACTAAAGCCCTGTTCACCTCAGTTCCTATTACCTGATATATCATGTCTAGCTTTCAAATCAGAAATAACAAGGCATGCCAAAAAGCAAGCCAAAACAGTGAGAAGAGACAAAACAAGCATAAGAACCAGACTCAGTTATGACATAGATTTTGGAATTACCAGACAGGAAATTTAACTATGCTTAGTAAGGGCTCTACTAGAAAAAAGATGAC